TCTCATGATTATGTACTACGCTTGGATATGTGGCCCACAATTAAACGTACATCTAGGGATATTATGGTATATTATTATCAAACATAACATAAAACTATATACCGCAAAACACAGGACAGTTTAATGAGGAAACTGTACCTAATCTAGATCCAATATCTAACAGCGAGTTTTAAGTAATTTAGGGTACCTACTTGAATAAATTCATCAGCAAAAAGCTGCAGAACGACTGACTTGAATGCAATTTACCAGCACTATTGCCTGCCCGGAATGGACCAATCAAGTTCTTTTAGAAGTTTTAAGACTAATCTGTAAATCAAATACTTAACTCAAAACACGGACACACCTGTTACTGCTGTTACTAAACCTACTGTCTCATAAAAAACCTAACACTATTTGAATTGTCTCACACATTTAGCTCATTTTCTTTATGAAAGAAGCTGACATCTCACTGATGACTGTGTGCCAATAGAGTCCTTTCATATACAAGTTTTGCTATGCCATTTTTGACCCTTTGTAATTTATTAAACGATGTGTCCAGTTGTCTTCAAAGCCTCAGCAACAGGCCTCGAGGCCAGCACAATCGCGCACGACGCCGATTGTCGTGTCGTAGCGCAACATTCACATCTCTGATAATTGTGTCGTAACGTTATTATGTTGCTTACCCACACCTCAAAGCTATCACGATTGTACGTACGTTCGCGGGATTTAATGTGTGAATGATTGTGAACGTAAGCTTTAATGTGCGAACACTTGACCATTATATACAATTGAATAACATTTGCGCAGATGTAGGCTATGATTAGGAAAATATTAAATGCTTGAGAAAAACAAATCTCGAACCAGGCTTCTTTCTTTCTAGTATTCGGTTGATCGTTAAGGCGTTGCTTTGGTTTGCACAGAAGCGTATGAGGTGACTAAGGGACTATTACGATAGTAAAAATAAGCACACTTGGTTTAGCGAGACGGGCAGCAGTGCTAAGGCCTTTACGGGAGCTCGTTAAGGGAACAAAGGCCACGCAACATCAAACGAACAACGGTTTCTTTGCTGGCTCTCCACGATGACATTAATAACAAATTCTGATTGGTTCCTCGATTGTGTTTATTGATGCATAAACTCAATGTTAATTACGTTTGATAGAATAGAACCCATAAAGATATTCTGTAGATGTATTTGGTGTGACGCCCCTATTCAAGCTCTAAAGATCAAAGTCAAGGCCGTTAGGTAGTTACTTTCTTATTTATTATTTTGTCCCCTTTACAACACGTTCTGTCGTCTATTACAAAATAAATATTATTATTTCCAAGAAAAGCTATTTTCTTTCTATCATCAACATTTAAACTAGCAATACTTATTACCTCCTTTGTAACTAAAGAGAACGAGTATAACAGCCCCCCTAGACAAAACGCACTTTTTGATCGAATCGAAAATCGAATCCGTCAAAACTCCATACAAAAAAGGGGCTTTTCGATCACTTTTCGACTGGTTTGCGATTATAATTTGCACTTTGTCTAGACCCACAGGGCATATTAGGATATTAGTAGACTAAATTTTGAAATCTTGTTGACAATTTACAGACCCACAAATGAACATCGGTGAAAATAATAATGTGCATGTTTGGCATTTAAATCTAGCTAGCATTCATGACCTGAACTGGCGGGTTGAATTCAATGCCTGCCAGCTCTTCCACTAATTACTACATGTACTGTGTCTATCTATAGGGAGGCTCCAGCACTCAGCAAATCATGGAATAAATTGCCACTTGAAACGAGAACTCAACTCATCTTGTACCTCATCAAAGTCTAGTTATTATCTCCTGGAAAGCATTATGTGAGGGGAGGGAGGCATTGAATTAGATTGCTACGTAGGTAATAGTATCATTAGTATTCGATATAGTTAATATCCTTGAATGCAAAAGTATACTTACGTCTTTAACTTAACGAGAGTACGTGTTAAAGTTCTGATGTTCGATGGGTAGGCGAACATGAAGCCTAATGCGCATTGATCTTTATGTTAGGACGTTACATTATATTTATGGCATACTTTGTACCTTGTCCGAAAATATGACCTAATGGTATTACAATAATAACAGACTATTCATTACACACGCATCGAATAGATGTTTCATAAATGTTCTCTCAATAAATTTAGGTAGGAATTACGAACCAATTCAGTTGTTAAAATGTAAATATGCCAGCCTGCAGGCAGTTAACAATCTCCGGTAGCCAGAACAGTCATTTGCCATGTAATGAGAGTAGCGACTGCCCCTGCAAACCAGTTCGATGGACGCGCCAAACAGGAATCGCGGTCTTCCGCACTCGGCCAATTGTGAATCAATTCGAGACCATCATGCGCTGACTTGTTCATTTTACACATGATGCAACATGAAATACTTAATATACAATAGACTGCACCACTGTTTTAATTTTGTGTAACATCAAAAGATGCGTATCATCAATGCAACGGCTGATGGTATTATATTCGATCAGTTACGGTTTCGATCATGACCGCACGGATGAGTCTGATCATAAAACGATCATCTTTCACACTAATATTTCGTAATGGGAACTGGCGAGACTAAGTGGGTTCCGTGAGATAAAGTCGCGTTTTCATTATTGCTGTGAAGAATTGGCGAACTGTCGATGCAAATGACCGGTCAAAATAGCTGTATTGTTGTCGGTCGGTCGCGATCAAGATGCTAGATGTGGAGGCTCGTGTCGGCTCCCCTGCCCGCGCGGTCCCGTTAGCCGGATGCCGCGCGCTCGCTTGTTATGCAACTGATGTGTCCCTCCATTGCGCGGCCGCCAGCGCACCGTCGCACACTGCTCTCTTCAAAAACGCTTTTGTATCTGTATAATAGGTACTATTAACAATTAGCTTGTTGGAAAACACTTTCCATCGATCATGCTACATTTTGCAATTCCAAAGTAGCTGTATTCTTTTAACTATAACATAACAGTCACTAACACCACATCAACAGGCTAGCTGGTTTGTGTATGTATTTTATAATTTAATGGAGATAAACAGCCGGAACATTTTAGATAATAAATGTATGCAATCTGCAGGTAACATCAGACATGTGACCCGTTTATATAACATTCATTAGTGGCTTCTCGCCGTGGAAACCTCGGTTCATAGATACTACACACTGATTGCAATATTAATTCATATAATGTAAGAACAATAGGAACGTAACTACAGATTTTTCAAACGTAGGAAATAGAGGCCTACTTATCATGAAGAGTTAAAACATGTTATCTTATATTAATTGACTTCTAACATTCGGAGGAATTCTCTGTATTTGATCCGCCGAATTAATCAAGCCAAAGGTTTTACTCCGATCTTACACGCCGATCCCGTTTTACTCCGCTTCTCTCAGCTTAATCACCCAATACTCTTAACGAGAACGGAACAAATTGAAATCCGAAAGTACCAATGTAGTCAGATTAAAAGAAAATGAGAACATTCCACCACGTAGCGGAAACTAATGCGCTCAGTAAGTAGATAGTCGCGAGTGAACCACCCCTCAATTCGCCTTGGCCCTCCAATAGCTGCCAGATTATCGTCTCTAGGAGCAATTTGTAGGGATTTGCGGTCGACCTTCGGGCCAAATAAAGCGATCGTCCGTCATTAGACCGCTGTGTACTCCCGCTAGACTAATTTGAGATATCTTCGGACTAAGGTGGGTTTTATAAAAACACGACTGTAATTTGTGATTAACCTTTTATCTACCCCTCCTTTTTGTGTGCACAGGTATAATACCAAGGTCTGTTAATAGTTAATCTCTAGGTAGCTTTTTGTGAGATCCTTGATGACGCCATGCGTAGGGGACGCGTGGCGCATTTGCGACAGTTTTTTACGACATAGCTCGGAGAGCTGATGGCCGCTGGGGCAGGAAAGTTCTTGAGTGGCGACCACGAGCCGGAAGACGTAGCGTGGGCAGGCCTCCCACTAGGTGGACCGACGATCTGGTGAAGGTCGCGGGAGGTGCCTGGATGCGAGCGGCGCAGGACCGGACTTTGTGGAAATTCTTGGGGGAGGCCTTTGTCCAGCAGTGGACGTCTTTCGGCTGAAACGAACGAACGAACCTAATAGGTACAATCAATTTTTATTCTTATTTCAGTAACTTTATCAGCTATCAGAAACTTACTAAATTATTATGAGAACAGGAATTTGGTAAAATTATGTTGTAATTTTTGTGTCAAAAACTGCTGTCTGGAAAAAGGATGTATTGCTAAATCATAATCAATTTTAGTAGGTATCATAATCAATTTTAGTAGGTATCTTAAAAAATAACAGCAAATAAATACAGCCACAGAACTTACACATTATGGATCAAGCTGTGTTTCTGTGTGTCATAATTAATAATCCCATACCATTTAAGAAATCAATATTTTAAGTATTAAATCAGACACATTCTATATACCTACTGATAAAACTAAAAGTTTATGTATTTTTTGTCTAATAACCATTTATTTACATATCAAGAGATTTTAGTTGTAAGATTTACTGGGTTCAAACAGAATTATGTAGAGTTATAAAAATATTAAGTCACTGTTAGGTGCATTTTTTACCGATTTAGTTCAATCCCAATAACTTAAAAAGTACAGTACTACTTGAAGTAGAGTTGAATATTAAACAGTAACTTTCAAAACTACATAATTTTTTCCAAAAATTAAGAACAATAAAATATATTTAAGATGAGGCAACTTTAGTATGTTAGTGAATATTATTCTATCACAAGAGTAAGCGGTTAGTTCTGATTTTAAATCACTCCGCTTTCTAAACATATTAATTGGAAGTATTTGTAATGGTGCAGATCCACTTAATTAATAGTATAGCAACACAAACAGTATCAAGTATTACAGGTAATAAAAAATAAACATGAAAGCACTAAAGTATTGTGACTCTGACATGTAGTTGTTAAGTAAAAGTTATCAAACTGCGAACACAAGTACAATTGATTAAAAGAAAAGACTTCAGTAATTAGGTACAAGCCACTTTATTAATTTAAAAATAACAAAAGTATTACATGTGATTTCTAGCTGTCAAACTTTAAACATAAAACAAATGAAAAAAAGGACAGGGAAGTTATTACATTCATAAAAATCCATGCAAGTTGACAAATAAGGCGTGCAGCAGCGCATGCAATGTTACCAACTATGTTAGTAAGCAGTGACATAGCGTAGGTGGCAGGCAAGGCTCCTCTCACCTTGGGGGATCGGTGGCCCGGGCTCCAGAGGCGTCGCCACCACTGCCACCAAGTGCGCCACGGCCTCCACGGCCCACAACACGCCCCACATGTCCCACAACCACATCACAACACTACACTATCTCATTATTGGCACAACATTCACACAACTTAACCAATACAAACACCTAACTATGCTAATAACTCCTATTGGCACAATCATACTTTGGAAAAATTCATGTCTCAATGCGGCTGCAGTACTGCATTTCGCATAGATTCTATCACATTATTACAGTGATTCCCATAGAATATTATCGGGATAAACTATACGAACAATACAGAAACAAAGACAGTTACTGCACGTCATAACATTCCTTCGCGAGCCACGACTAAACACACACTCTACGACTCGCTGCTCGTTCAACACTAAAAAATAGTGATGTTCGTGTAGCGGTGCCTGCCATGCCATTGCAGCCTCGGAGTGACGTTTAGAAATGAACCAACGATTCTCGATTATCGAATTAAACAATCGATACAACTAAAAATATGTTGTAATAATGAAATCAATGTAAAGCGTATTTTAGAATTTATGATAAATCTCTACCACACCTGTTTCTTTTTAAAGAATTTTGGTTTACAACAGCACGGATAGAACGGAATTACTTTTGGTAAATCGCCTTTTTTGAGATCCATTACATACTTTGCCATGTCTTCTAAATACGGTAACTTTATTTGAGGGTCTTTTGGTAATAAATAATCACTTGCGGGTGTCCAAACTCCATTGACTAATCTAGCTGGTTGTGAAAATGCACCCTTGAACTGTAATCCAAACGACCCTAAAACATTTGAAAGTATTTTAATTATACCTTTAGATATTAGGTACTAAATGCATAATTGGGTAGAACAAAACATAGCTATATTATGTTTAATGAAAGATAATTACCATCACATAGAATCCCTAAACTAGTAATATTTTGAGGGTCTGTATCAAAAAGCCAAAGCTTAACAACATTCAACACGGCTGTAGCTTTATTCAAATGAATCTGCCCTTCTAAAAGTTTATTCTGCAAAACAGAAACAATTTTTTTTTAAATGTTGTTTACGTGATCTTTTTCTTAAATGCTTTGATTTACCTTTTGCTCTGCTACTTTGATCCACAAAGATTCATCAAAATGCATCAAATATTCCAAAGTTCGCATTTCAGGTGTCAAACAGCCAATTATTAGCGAAGAATTTTTCACTTTAGTGTATCGAGTGTAAGGTTCAAAAGAGTTATATTTATGGACTGTTGTCTTGATATCTACTAATTGATTAATTCCCACAAATCCCCATACTGGAGGGCAAAACATGTTTCTCATGGGAACTTCTGCAATTTCTGCGGCTAATGCTGAAATATCTAAGCCAAGGTCGGAAGTAGCAACGACAATGTTTTTCTTATAAATATTTGTAATTGAATTCATAAGGACAGTAGCATTGTAGCAAGCTGGGCCGAGATTGGGAAACAGAACATACATTTTACGACAAGCAGAAGCATTTATTACTAGAGCTAGATCTTCCATAATTTGTTTATTAGCATATAACCAATCTCCCAACGAAGAATCATTACTGAAATAAATCAAATTAATTATACTTAGTAACTGATCGATCCATTGTCAAACTAATTCAATGGTTGATCAAAATAAAATAATAACTTACTCTAATGGTGCATGATCAAGAATAATGAATAAATCAGTATGAGTAAGTGCCATCCCAACTTTTTCCACGACTTTTACAACTTTTCCTGGATGGTTAGTGCCAATGAAGCTACATTCGCGTTCCACAAACTCCATAAAAGCTTCAGAACATTCGCTATCATAAATGTAAATTTTAGAAATGCTTTTTTCACCAACAGTCATATCCAACAAGCCTGATACTAAATGCATAGCCAATGGAAATCCAGTACAAGAAATGGTTACAATAAAATTATTTTTAGGGGGTCGTTCCACAAATTCTGCATTGGATATCCTGCGACTTATGACATCTTGGTCTGTCTTTAATTTCTTCTCGTATTGTGAAAAGTTATGTACCAAGCCTTCAAACTTTTCGGTTGAAAGGAATAGATCAAATTGATAATAGGAATGGCAATAATCTAAAAAATCCGAAGCCCCTCCAATGTAATAGGGTTTACTTCCTTTCATCAGTAACTCTTTCCATACAATTGGAGATCCTATATGATGCCATTTATTCTTTTGATTTATTTTACATAGCCATTGCTGAAACAAAACATTGGATCACGTCAAATACTGTAACTCCTGTAAAGTAATAAGAAATGTATTTATAAACTTTGTACAAACCTCCCATTCTATAACTGCTTTTTCTATTCTTTCAAAACAAAAATTGGGAAGATTTTGTGCAATGTAATCGGCAACTAAACATACTTCAGCAAATACGTTACACTGTGATTCACCTGCTATTACAATTCTTGCAGTCATATTCTTAAATAATGCAGTTAAACGGTAGCTAACCAATCCAAAAAATAAACAACGAACGACACACAGTGACGCAGTCAAAATGACAATTTGTCAGATGATCGTAGTCAGTATCTTATTTTTTATACAATCGGTATTATTTAATCGATTAATCGTTTTGAGGTGGTCGTACGTTTCTAAACGAAAATCCTTATGTCAAGAACCAATGCGCAAAGAACTGTCAAAACACAGTGTCAAACAAAACATAACCTAAAAATATTTTCATGTGTGTTGTTTGTTGTTTAACTTGATTTGTGTATACCTAATTTAATACCTAAGTAACAAGTTTAGTCAGTTAAACACACATTTAGAATAATATCCCGATCGAGTTATTATAGTACTGAAGCTTAAGTAAGGAACACTAAATCATCTCACATTTTTAATTTTAGTGGTGTTGTATGGTAAACTTTTAAATATACCATACATAAATTGATCAATGAGTTCATTTTGTATTGATTTAATTAAATATTATTTATTGATAAATTGTAGCTATTCTTCTCATAATTAATTAATAAAGTGTCTAAAACATACTAGTTCACCACATTCCAATGCTCAATTAACTTGATAACTAAAAATTCTGAAGTATTGAATAAAATGTTATTAATCTAATATATATTTTTATATTCAACAGGTTACAAATATGGCTAATCGAAATTGGGGGTTTTGTGACTTATCACTCGACAAAAGCTTTGACCTATCAAAGCTACATGTAATGGAAAAATTTGGGTACAATACTATCGCCATCAATACAGTAGTAGAGGAAGCAAGTGAAGAGCCAAAAAAGAAGAAAAAGAAGGGTGAAGTGAAAGAGAAAAAAGATTTTATACCTGCACCAATAGAAATACCCAAGGAAATAACTGATAAGACTAAACTCAATATTCTACAAAGAATCACAATACACTTTTCAGATTCAGGTATCACACACAAAATAAATAATTCAGAAAATATCAAGAAGTATGATATTGTGGCAGTAGTTCCCAAAACTTTGCAAGCATTCCAATATGCGTCTGGAACCATGGATGTAGATATAATAACGTTTGAACCTGAGTCACGGATCTCCTTCAAAGTGAGCAGAAAGCTGTACAGACAAGCTGTGGAAAGGGACGTGTTCTTTGAATTAATGTATTCGCCTGCTATAAGAGACACTACTTGTAGGAAAAATATTATAAGCACAGCTCACATCTATCACGCGGTTGGGAAATCTAAAAACATAATTATTACCAGTGCTGCTGAAAATGACATGCATGTCAGGGATGTACATGATGTTATAAACCTGGGTTTCATTTTAGGACTTAACAGTAATGAGAGTTTAGAAGCAGTCAGAAATAACACTAGAAGACTTATTATAAAGGCAGAAGGCAGAAGATGCGGTAAACACTACATGACTGTAACCACTCTGAGTGAAACTAACAATCAAAGTATAGATCAAGTTTAATTTGTTGTTATTTACAAATAATAAAAATCTTACAATATCATAGACATCTTTATCAATAAAACATTTACAAAATCATACACTTAATACTTATGAATTAACATTAAAACAAGCATCACAGATAAGGAATCATTTTTGAATCTTAACATTGCTTTTGGTATTTATTATTTAAATATCTTATCATCAGTACAGTTAGAGAGCTTGTGTGGACTTTTGATTCCATTGTACAAACTAGGAACTAAACTGACTTAAGAATTTCTTGTATTGATTACTCTGATTTCACATGTTCTGAGATATCTCCTGCTTGCGTCTTAGCTTCGACTTTCACAGTTTTCTCAGTAGACAATCTGCTAGTCATCAGACTTAGATTCGGTGTTTGGTTTTCTTCAGGCATAGTGAATATATTGGCTACCCACTTGAATCTAAACAAAACAAAAAGAAATATTAAAAATATGATAATGACAAAAATAAAACTAATGTAACCTAATGAGACTGAATAAAAATAGCAACTAAAAATGATGAAATAGAAGCCAAAACAAAACTCACAAAAAATGATAAAGCAGATGAATGCAGAAATGCTTACTCAAACTGGTGACTGGTGGGTTAGTAAGTTTCTGTGAAAAATCCAGGGTATTGAACGTGCTTAGCTACCATTGCAGATTGATTAAACTTAAAATAGCACAAGGGGAAAATAAAAAGATCAGTTAATTTTTTACATTGTATTCTTTCAAATGCAATCTCAACATTTGGTACAAGATATGTAATACAAAATGTATAAAAACAGCACACTTCAAATATGTTATGCTTGAATAACATCACTACGCCCTACATTTAACTGGTCTAGGCTACTTAGAACATGTGTATTACATTCTACATAATATCATGATGCCTCTAGATATATCGCCGGTAGCACCACAGACGTTTGCTTCACAATATTACTAGGTCTAGGCATATACTGTTGTTACATTATGGAGCATGATTAAGTTAACTGCAATAAGCTGGTTATTAATAATGATAGCCAGTGAAATTTCTGAGGGTTAATAGATTATTCAAAGGTATGAGTCTGATGCCTAAGATGGGTTTCAAAAAACCGATGATACAATTCACCACATCTTTAGTAGGTTATGTTAGGTTAATTAATAAACATGTATGAACCTTAAAAACAAAAACTGTAAAATAATCAAGACAGATTTATTGTTTGATCTGCAATTAACAAAGAGATCTACCACGACTAGAATTCAGGTTAAAAGCCTCAAGATACATACAAGATTCACATAAACAATCTCATAGCCATTGCAGATTAAACTGTTAATACCATTTTGAGCAATTTGTAGAATGCTAACTCATTGTGCACATAAAGTTCAAAGTATAAGTTACTGCAGTCTTATAAATGTCTTTTATCAATTTTAAAATAACATAAATCAACGAATGGCGCTGCAAATTAAACTAAACGAGAAACTATAATTTGTGGCATTGTAACTCGTTCCTCTAACTTAAAGTAAGACCATAACTGATAAACTAATTTTATTGTAATGTCATGGCAAATATCTAAAATACTTAACAATTAATATTGAATTTAAATCACCGATCACATAGCCTTATACAAAATAAATAATCTGCCGACTTACTAATCGTAATATTAACAAATTCAGTCTCATTGGTCATAAAACAATTTAAAAATTTAATCTAGTAGTCTTTCCTCAAGAACTTTTTATTCATATTAAATATGACACATTGATTACAAAACGTTAAAGGAATAAAAGTAATGGTAAAATATGATATGGATTAAAATAAATGCAGAAAATGTACCAAAAATTATTACAATGTCATAAGAATTATAATTACAATATTACATCAGCCATTTTGCGTATTTTACAATTTTTTTCGGGGTACAAAATAAATGTACCTACAGCCTACACAATATATCATAACGATAATATAATTAATTTCATTTCATATCTACACACGAAATAATATATTACTTTATTGTGCTGTTTTTTCAGATCTTAAAATATAAAACGGCACTGTTCTCACATAAAAGTGCCACATTCGAACACAAATCCCAGTACATACCGTAAAATGTACCTAAAGGAGCAAACACACTTGTAATTTAAATGGAATCTACTCCTTTAGGTACACATTGTTACATTAGCTATAATAAAACGGTGGCTAGTTCATTATTAATCATAAAATTTCAATAAAAGCAGTCAATTGTCAATCCGTCAAGTATTCAATTTTCAAGTAGCGCAATAATGTGTTTAGTATAGTAGCTGCCATTTCATAAAATTTCTAATTTGTTACACTGAATAATTTACGAATTGTGCTCAGCAAAGTTTAGAAATGACAACGTTTAGTTCTCGACGTGCATATTTTTATACAGTAGAGACAAGAAGTGAGCTAACGATCCACCTCATGCATATGGACATCTACGCTCACGTTCGTACGTACGTTTCCAAGGCGTTGTTAAACTTTAGTGACTTGTTTGTACACACGGCCACACTGTTAACTATCTATTTCCGTTTTTGCTCTCGCTCTAATCAAATGGTGATTCTTTGCGATAGAACGAGATGACATGACTGGCAATGGGCAGTTAACACTGTTGCCGATAGTACACTTATTTTGCAAAATTTCTTTAACAAAACAAAACACAGGTGTAGAGCCGAATTCAGACCATAGACATGTTTGGAGGCGTCTGTCGTATCCTACACAGAGCCCTGGCCAGCCACCTAGGTACATACTTGACGGATCAACACTTGACCGAGAGCAATCGTCAGTTGTTGAGGAAAGACACGCAGTGAGCGACCGTGTTCACGTTTTCCACCAACCTGTTGTATAGTTCGCGGCGAACGCTCGCCGTGAACTTGCTGACGAGGCAAAGGGTGACAGTGGCTGCGAATATCGCGTTGTATAGCAACACTAGCTTGAAGTTGCCTAGCCACTCGATGCGCCCGAATTCGCCGAGCAAATCGAAATTTGTTATACCTGAAAAAATAAGACAGATTTGTACAAATAACAATGGAAGTTGTATAATTTTAACGGTATTTATGACAAAAACAGGTAGATGAAAATAGTGAATAGCGGTTAAGGAGTTTATAAGTCGTCAAGCCCGGTGGTCCAAAGCGAGATAGCTCGCAAGCTAATCGTTCACACAATCTGTAATTGCAATTTTGTAATCAAAAGCATTAACAAGATAATGGATAGGTATAAACCATCGCATCCGGCTTCATGTTTCGGAATCATTGTGATCCGACAGCAACAGGTAAGTATAGTATTGTTGGTAATTTTATAATTCCTTGATGAATTTAGCGTGCGGCGACTTTGAGGAGGAATCCCAAAAGGGAAGTAAAACTAACGTTGACATAGTTATTTAATTTTTAGTGTTAAGAGTGTCGTGGGTTCAATTCCCGCCTTAGGCAGTTCGATTTTTTCAAGTTATTTATAATTTTCAAATAACGTTGACATGTCAATATTGCGGTCAAGCTTGGTACCTACTTGCTACACGCGCCGATGACGATCAGGGCCTGGATTAAATGTGTACGCACACCTTTGCTTTTCCACGAGTCTGAAAAGTGTGACTCTAGTCTGAATTTCTAAGCGCCTTAACCCTCAATCTTAATAAGTCAAGAGTAATCCAGATAACCCCATTATTTTGAACTAGCCATGGAACATTTCATGAATAGCAGGTGAAAAATCATATGAAATGAATTTCATTAATCACACCTGCTATTTTTCTTCACATAGACTGCTATAATTTCGCAGTCAACGAAATCACGAATCACATGAATTTCATTCATTCATTCGAGCGAAGTCCGTGAGCGCTGCTCTGCTAAGTGACCGAGCGAGTAAGAAGGAATGATTTGATCATGTGCGTGTTAGAAAAGGACAAGAGATGTGATGACGAACGAAACTGAGCATTTTAAATATGAACTTTAAACTCAAAGGAGTAAGGTTTAGATTTCCTTGTCATGATTCGTATGATTTCATTAGATAGCAGGCAGATGAAATGAATGATTTTTCACTAGTCGCGCGGTTAGTGATTGTTTTGTTGCATACATACTGTGCTGTGGAACTGTTTGTTTTTTGTTGTGCGACATAAAATCAAACAGATATTAAGTCACATTCAATATAGGTAGCTAATTAGCAATCGTTCATCATAATTCATACTTCATTAAAAGTAGCACATTATATGAAAGAGCTATATTTTAACACTGCGAATAAAAATCATTGCCTGTGAAATTTCACATGTGAAATCACATGAATAAAAATCATCATTTCATGAAATGAAAATGAACGGAAAATAGCAATCATTTCCATGCCTATTTTGAACCCTATCACCTTGTGGCAATGTCCAAAAACAACGATAAATCAAATAAGAGTCTTCTTACCTAATATCTTGACAAGCAGCGGCTGCGCAGTAGAGTGCGCGAGTAACAGCGCGCACGTGGGTATGATCCGGGCGAGCGGAGTGCAGCGCGCGCGCGGCAACACGCGCATTGCACGTAATGGCGCGCTGAGACCCGTGAGCGACGCCGCGTGCAAGTATAGTATGAGGAACGCTTCGAGCGTCGCGCCCGCCCAGCCTAGTTTTGATAGTGAGGCGATACCCAGTGTGAATTGCTGTAATAGAAACATTTAAAAGTTATAAATTAGTAGCTTTTACCCGCGCGGCCTTGCCGGCGTTAATTTCACAGAAAAATATGTCATTCGGGATTTATTTAGCTATCTATTGATGAAAGAAATCTTGAAATCGATTAAGTAAGTCTCTAGAGATTACAAACAAAGAAACCTTCATCTTTACTAACTTTACTTGTTTATAATATTTGTGATAAAATAGATGTTAGCCAAAGTTAAAGGCCACGTCATAAAGAGAATGACCTTTACTCAACATAATGTAAAATACATAATGTAGTAAGTACGGTTTATACTTGTGACTCATTTCGATTAATATTTTATATCGAACAAACTATTAGTTATCAAAGATGATAACGTCCATATTATGACGGTTGTATTGTTATTGTTTAATCTTGGATTTGACCTTTGCATAAAAATACTGGAAAATTCTGTGCAGAATTATATTTCTAGACTTAAAAAGCTTCCATTTATAATTAACGACCGGTTTATGCATTACATATGACGCACTGTAGGCGTCACACTCTTTGTCTCGCCAACTGTCTTCAAACAAAATTTGTGTACCAAGGAATAATACAAATTGTTGTCCATAGTTCTCTAAAATCTCACGATTGATTCAACTTCAAGTGATATTTTGTGAAAATTCCCCAAAACCATTCGGCATAGTAAGATCATATTATGAAAGTAAATTTTTTCACGCTAAAGCCGCTGAACTGGTAGTAAGCAGCAGCAGCCATTAGCATCGCCAGCGGGTACACCGCGTTGCTGTCACACAGCAACTCACTCGTGTGCTGAGCGGCACCGCCTTGATCCCTATGAGCAGCTCCAGCGTGTTCTGCAGTACCATCGCCGTACACCGCGTTGTTGGAGCGACGCCTGCTGTGGTCTACCTGCTGTGACAGCAACTCACTGACGTGTGACGTGTGCTGAGCGGCACCGCCTTGATCCCTATGAGCAGCTCGAGAGTGTTTTGCAGCACCATCGCCAGCTGGTACACCGCGTTGCTGGAGCGACGTCTGCTGTGGTCTACCTGCTGTGACAGCAACTCACTCGTGTGCTGAGCGGCACCGCCTTGATCCCTATGAGCAGCTTGAGAGTGTTCTAGAGCACCATCGCCAGCGGGTACACCGCGTTGCTGGAGCGACGTCTGCTGTGGTCTACCTGCTGTGACAGCAACTCACTCGTGTGCTGAGCGGCACCGCCTTGATCCCTATGAGCAGCTCGAGAGTGTTCTGCAGCACCATCGCCAGCGGGTACACCGCGTTGCTGGAGCGACGTCTGCTGTGGTCTACCTGCTGTGACAGCTACTCACTCGTGTGCTGAGCGGCACCGCCTTGATCCCTATGAGCAGCTCCAGCGTGTTCTGCAGCACCATCGCCAGCGGGTACACCGCGTTGCTGGAGCGACGCCTGCTGTAGTCTACCTGCTGTGACAGCAACTCACTCGTGTGCTGAGCGGCACCGCCTTGATCCCTATGAGCAGCTCGAGCGTGTTCTGCAGTACCATGAGCACGGTGATGGTAGTAAGCGCTAGTAGCATCAACATCGCCAGCGGGTACACCGCGTTGCTGGAGCGACGTCTGCTGTGGTCCACCTGCTGTGACAGCAACTCACTCGTGTGCTGAGCGGCACCGCCTTGATCCCTATGAGCAGCTCGAGAGTGTTCTGCAGCACCATCGCCAGCGGGTACACCGCGTTGCTGGAGCGACGTCTGCTGTGGTCTACCTGCTGTGACAGCAACTCACTCGTGTGCTGAGCGGCACCGCCTTGATCCCTATGAGCAGCTCGAGAGTGTTCTGCAGCACCATCGCCAGCGGGTACACCGCGTTGCTGGAGCGACGTCTGCTGTGGTCTACCTGCTGTGACAGCAACTCACTCGTGTGCTGAGCGGCACCGCCTTGATCCCTATGAGCAGCTCGAGAGTGTTCTGCAGCACCATCGCCAGCGGGTACACCGCGTTGCTGGAGCGACGTCTGCTGTGGTCTACCTGCTGTGACAGCAACTCACTCGTGTGCTGAGCGGCACCGCCTTGATCCCTATGAGCAGCTCGAGAGTGTTCTGCAGCACCATCGCCAGCGGGTACACCGCGTTGCTGGAGCGACGTCTGCTGTGGTCTACCTGCTGTGACAGCAACTCACTCGTGTGCTGAGCGGCACCGCCTTGATCCCTATGAGCAGCTCGAGAGTGTTCTGCAGCACCATCGCCAGCGGGTACACCGCGTTGCTGGAGCGACGTCTGCTGTGGTCTACCTGCTGTGACAGCAACTCACTCGTGTGCTGAGCGGCACCGCCTTGATCCCTATGAGCAGCTCGAGAGTGTTCTGCAGCACCATCGCCAGCGGGTACACCGCGTTGCTGGAGCGACGTCTGCTGTGGTCTACCTGCTGTGACAGCAACTCACTCGTGTGCTGAGCGGCACCGCCTTGATCCCTATGAGCAGCTCGAGAGTGTTCTGCAGCACCATCGCCAGCGGGTACACCGCGTTGCTGGAGCGACGTCTGCTGTGGTCTACCTGCTGTGACAGCAACTCACTCGTGTGCTGAGCGGCACCGCCTTGATCCCTATGAGCAGCTCGAGAGTGTTCTGCAGCACCATCGCCAGCGGGTACACCGCGTTGCTGGAGCGACGTCTGCTGTGGTCTACCTGCTGTGACAGCAACTCACTCGTGTGCTGAGCGGCACCGCCTTGATCCCTATGAGCAGCTCGAGAGTGTTCTGCAGCACTATCGCCAGCGGGTACACCGCGTTGCTGGAGCGACGTCTGCTGTGGTCTACCTGCTGTGACAGTTACTCACTCGTGTGCTGAGCGGCACCGCCTTGATCCCTATGAGCAGCTCCAGCGTGTTCTGCAGCACCATCGCCAGCGGGTACACCGCGTTGCTGGAGCGACGCCTGCTGTAGTCTACCTGCTGTGACAGCAACTCACTCGTGTGCTGAGCGGCACCGCCTTGATCCCTATGAGCAGCTCGAGCGTGTTCTGCAGTACCATGAGCACGGTGATGGTAGTAAGCGCTAGTAGCATCAACATCGCCAGCGGGTACACCGCGTTGCTGGAGCGACGTCTGCTGTGGTCCACCTGCTGTGACAGCAACTCACTCGTGTGCTGAGCGGCACCGCCTTGATCCCTATGAGCAGCTCGAGAGTGTTCTGCAGCACCATGAGCACGGTGATGGTAGTAAGCGCTAGTAGCATCAGCATCGCCAGCGGGTACACCACGTTGCGTTGGAGCGACGACGTCTTGCGCTGGTGGTCTACTTCCTGATGACAAAAGAAGTTCTTACAGTAGCCGAATGTGGAAGCGAGCTTCACCCTGATCCTCAATCACAAAGGAACTAGCTATCTTACCTCCAACTGCGGATATACAACAACGGTGTTAACATTGTCGTTTACGATAATTAATTTAGGCAGACTTAGAACAAGCCCCACCACAAACCAAATCGAGCAAAAAATTAACTCTCACTGGGAATCGAGCCCGGGACTCGATATCTAAGATAGATAGACTTAAAATTGAAATACGTAATACGCATATTTATTTTGAAAAGATGATGATGAAATATCGCGTTACATTACATAAACGGCATAACATCAATTTCATACACTGACGTGGCCCACGTGCTAGAGCCAAAAATAATCTTATTTATTAATCAGAATCATAACACGTAGAAATAGGTAGTAGACGTAATAAAAATGCAATCTTTAACGCGTATAATATTGACAATATTTTATAGATAACTGAAATCAGCATAATTATGATCGTAAGAAAAAAAGAAATGATTTTTTTGCCAAAAAATAATGATGAGTTTGCTGTTCTGATTTTGGGACCGTGATAGAGTTCACTATTAAAACTTTCGATACTACTTACGCTTCTTACACCCTGTATAAACCACTTTAATAAATTGTTATTAATTCCATACGTCATTAATGTATTACCGCTGAAACGATGATGGATTGCTCAATGAAGTTGTTAGTTATTATTTATTCACGAGTTTTGTGAATGACTGTTAATAAATGAAAGTGAAAGAAAACTAATTAAATAATTTTATTGAGTTATTTTTTACGGTACGAAAAGTCGATTAATCCAGTGTAAAACGCCCTTTCCTAAAAATGAGAGTTTTTGAGAATGGATGGATTGATGTTGATTAATTTTTCACCCAAAATCTACTAAACGGATTCTGCTGAAACTAGAGTATTTAGAATAACAACTAGGGTAGGTACGAATATCACGCTGACAAAGCCGCGGGCTAAAGTTAGTTAAAATATTGTTAGATTTTGGACTCTACCTAAGAAATATTGATGAACCGCTCTGTTGATTCAGAAAACAAAAGTAAACAGTTACTTGGGTGTTGATAATGATTATGAACGACAGCGCTTTGTTCCCCGCGAGGAGAAATATGTTTTGTAAACATAATTATTCATAGTTTTCTCGAACAGGTATGTGTAACGTACGGCTTATCACGATCGACTTCTTTCAAAGCGTGAATTGTGCGTTATTATCCACATTTACAAGGAAATTCATTAAAAAATTGGAAACCAGTTATAATACTTTTCGCTCGCTTCAAGTCGCTTCAGAAAGAATTATCTAATATCTCACATTATTTCGATAAATGAAAATCAACTTCGAAAACAAACAAAAAAAAGTTTGCGTCATCAATATACTAATATTTTTAGCAAAAAAAGTTAAAAAGATGCACATAACAAATTTTTGCAACTTAACAACAAGTTATTTTCCAATCCGTAGCATAGAATCATATTTATTTTTAGACATTCGCGATTTTTTTTTGTTTCTCACGAGGAAATCGACGATGAACTCCGAACTGAGGTATCCAATTCTGCATAGAGCGTCTTTGTAGGTGCATTGACGCGCAGCCACAGAATAAATTACTAGGCGTAGCCTATTTCCAATCTAGGTACATCTAAAAATAACAAACTTTTCCACTTATAGCTATGCCTGTGCACCCTGTCGCTAGGGCCATTCTGAGTGTAAGGCACTCTTTTGATACATGTCGATTTGTGTAGTTTGTCCTTCGAGAAGGACGATTCGGCGTCAGATTTTTCCACTTACGTGTTATAACACATGTATGTATGAGCAATATGACCCATGACCTTAGAGTCGACTGTCATAATCTCACTAACTAGGTAGGTAGGTACTTATGCCCCTGAGCAATCCTGGGGGCGTAGTGTGAGTTTACGTCAAACGCATTCGTAAAAAAGTGACATTAAATGTATGACGGATTGTACAGGGCCCCTAGCGGAAACGAAACAAGAACTAAAATCTTAATTTTTTTAACGCAATTGATATCGAATGCATTTGACATAAAGTCACACTACGGCGGCCCCTGTTCTGCCTGCAGAACTTCTTACTTATGTATTTTACGCGCAGCCTAAGCCGTCACGTCACATACCCGCTATACATATTATAATATGTATAGATCCATTTGTAACCTACATCTGAAAGTAACAAACTTTTCCACTTACTATTCTCTTAGCGACGACTTTTTGTAGTCTGTCATTAAGGCCGGCCTGTAGGGCGCCGTTTCTGAGCCGCAGCAAGGGCGTCTCTTTACGCGGGGAAGCGTGCAGTTTGTCCTTCGACAAGGACAAGTCGGCGTCCAACGGCGCCGATATGTCCCCACGGTCGGGGTACATCGGCTCCGGCGATATGTAACCTACGCCTGTAACAGATAATGGAACTTTACTGGATAATCGACCTTATTAAAGGACGGCAGCACATTATATTAAGACGGACATCTTATACGGTTGTTTTATATGCTATTTTTGCAACGAACATTGTGCTGGACCTAAATCGGCAAAGTCGACTAGCGGTGAAAATGCATTCAACTCATTCAATTTTGTTACAGTTAAGATACCTAATTGATTCGTATTTTTGTTTTTCAAGTATTGTGTGTGGTACAGTGGGTAATCATTCCTAAAATAATGAATGTTGTCTTACTCGAAACTAAATTAATCATCATCAATCTATAATATGTTTAATGGACCAAATGACGCACCTACGTAATTGACCGACACGCTAGAGAGGTTCATTACGTTAGCCCATTGAGATTCAGTCCGTATCGCTGCCTTTATTTTAACTTTAAATAATTTTAAACTTAGAATAACGGCAGCGATACGGACTAAATATTAATTTTCAATAATAAAGAAAAACGTGAACCGGGCGAAATTATTGCGATTTCACACGGTGCGATTTTATGACGCACGTTCGACAAAATAGTCTCGCACAAATGGTCATTCGTCACAAACAATTGAATGGGCAATGCCGATTGGTCGTCACCACGTTACATCGTCGAGGCGAAAGCGATTCATTGAGGAAAGCCATCTCAGAAAACGTATGCAAATTATCGTGGAAAAGGAAGGTAAAGATAAAAGCAGCACGTGCGTATTAATGGGAGCCATTGACATTTCGTCACAAATCGACATTCAATTGTTTTCGTAGAAAAGGTTCGAAAAGGTCTTCGAAAATCATATAATAATTGAAAGTCTGGAAAGTAAGTATATATGTACTAAGGAAATGAGAATTAATTTAAAACTTAAAAAATATATTGCCTCCGGTAGAACTTTGAACTCTGAGCTAAAATGAGCTAAGTAGCCAGCAAACGATAGAACGTACCTAAATAAGATAGTTAAAAGTCCTAAAATGACAAAAGATTTCAGGTGCAGACTTTACATTTTACGATACATGCGATTAAACTCATGACATCAAAGTTAACCTTCATTAACCAACCATTGGTTAGTAGAGGAATACGTTAATTACCTATCCCAAGATATCGTTCTAGGTCAAATTGACCGTCATCAATGTGGAGGTTTACTACGGAAAAATCAATAATTTGTCACTGAAATAGTAACATGGCTGTTTAAACAAGACAGGCAAGACACTTACTAATATCGACCCATGAACTTATTAATACCGACTGTTCAAATGGGAATAATACATTATTCATCACGAAGGTCACAGCTTAAAGCTCCAATATTAGCTTAGTTGTTTGTTATTTACAGTATCTTTTATATTTAGCACAAAACTAATTTACACAATGATTTTTTATTCAATAATTTAGAAAGCTTTATACTTGCACATACGATAGGCTTAAAAACTTTAGAAAAAACAGCATAAAAAGAACAAGAAAATTCCCAGCTAAAGTAAATAGATAGCAACTAGGTCTTCAATCAATGGGTGAATAAATAAAATAATCTTTAAGATCATTTAACGACTACACTCTTTTGATTTCAAAATCATCATCTTTGCAGCAACTTGACATCACCCTGATAAAGAACTAACTACGAACATCGTACTACAACATAGAGTTAACATTGACACCAATCACCGATTTAATCAATGGACTAAATCCGTAGCATACTCGTACATGGGCACTGGGACTAGACGTCACGGACCGTGATGCGTAAACCGACGGATACACGTGGCTTACCGTCTCTACAGTAGAAGTATCTGCCAACAGCAATAAATCCATTATAAAACTGATGTCAGCTGGTCTGTTGATAATGTGACCGAAGCGAAGAAGAAATAAGTTTACATTATCAACCAGACTTTTTATTCTTTCCAGTAAAAACAAAGACAAGATATCAAAAACATTTAACAAGTGTCATTATTTTAAGTTACTTTTGTGAACGCTACAATGTAACCTTGTTGGTGATCAAATAAATAAATAAACGTTTGATCCAGCTATCGGTGTGCATTTCTACAAACACTAAATAAATACTTATTTTGTTTCATCGCAGTTAAGAAATTACACTCCATAACCGTTTTTGTAAAAAAAAGTGAAAGTGAGCACAGAGAACTGAAGACGCAACCAGATGAAAAACGGGATAACAAGGATAAACTTATCCAACCGTGAAGTTACCAAGGTGAATCTCTGATGTTTTTTTAACTAGCATTATACACTCGACAGCAAATAAATCGCACCACCCGCGACGCGAACTTTAAAGATTTTCTTTTGACACAATAATGGTGCCCCAACAATATTGGCAATTAGATATAAATTTTAATAAATTGGAATAACTTAGATTGACCAGTCCCCGAAAGCAGCGCCTGTTCACAGACATGACGAGTGAACCAGCCATCGCTTCACTCAACCATATTAGAGGGAATGTAACGACCACTACGCCACCACCCCAGAAATCGGCCCACCTACGTTTCACAGGAAAACTCGTTTCTACTGACACAATTATGGTGCCCCAACAATATTGGTGGTATTTGAAAGCTCAATAAATATCCTTAAAGAAAAACACATTTAATTTCTTAATAAACGATTTAAACGATTAACATAATACAATAAATGTGACTTGAAAAAAGACCTCACTTTGGGCTCACCTCTGGAATCAATTAGACCAATTTTTATGGTTATAAAACCAAATAATGATCTCACGTGTCCTCTTTAACAGATTGATAGCGATTAATCCCAACTTAACAGTTTTATAGCCATAAAAGTTGGCTCAAGCGTAACTACCTATTTTTTGAAGAAGTGTCTCTGGATTCTTCTACAGACACATTTTTGGGGTAAAAACCTTTCCTTCAATATTAGTGGGAAGTGGGGATGCATACGTTTGAAAGTGCTTGTCGCGGGAGGGTCGATTTTTGTGATGACCAGTGTAGATTTTATTGTTATTCAGTTTTTTATCTCCAAGCCACAAACTGTGCTCACTTTGGTGTGATAATAATATTGGTAAAAATTCGTAACAATTTTAAAAGGTTTAAACATACAGGTATGCGACTTAAACTGCCATCTTGTTGCTAGCATGCATTATTTATCAACTCTGTTCCACCACGTTATGCTAAAGTACTGCAAATCAATAAAAACAATGTGCCTGCTTATAGAAATTATGTTGACTATTGAGTTATACATTATTTATTAACCCTTGTCATGTGGAACTGATTGTATGGGCCGTTAATGTATAAAAAAGCACAAAGAAATATTATTTTTATTGCTGCCATTTATATTCAAGTGTTGACTTTATTATCATTCAGATGCTATATATTATTTGCTGCAGGGCTTCGATTCAATGGGCCATATTTTAAGAGGCACCGTCTTGGCATCGATGTCTGATAACTTTCAAGGTTCAGGATGTGAGGTATTCGCATTAATTTACAATTCGCCTTGAGGAGTGACTTCAATTGTCTTAACGCTTGTTACTTTACTGATAAGCACTATGAATTGCATTAATTAAAAAAAAAAGAAACTTTTAGCCTAGGCCCAGACCACCGATTTTTAGTCTGCCGATAGTCAGGCCCGATTCTAATTTGTATGAAGAATCAATCGGTGTAATGTGCGTATTTCCATACATTCCCATACTGATTAACTGACCGACTAAACTATCGGCCGACGAAAAATCGGTGGTCTGCGCCTAGGCTTATTGCTATTGAAAGTTATTTTTAAAATATTTATGGCAAATTAGACATAATACCAGATTAGTCGAGCAGTCATTTATACTATTTCTTATTTCAAGCCTTAAAAACCTTAAATTAAAGACTTATCTTCGCCTCATTAGTACATAATGTGCTAGATCAATCTAGTAGCTTCCTGCTGCATATCAGGTCTGGTGGTATCGGTCTATACCACTTTGATCACCTTGGTGATATCACCTGGGTGTGCAAAAGATGTCAATTAGTGTTCTTAGACCAGCATGATAAGATAAGTCATCGGAAATCAAAGTACAGCAATTGCAAATTTTTTTTAAGTGCATGTTTGAAGCTTGAGTTTCTATCTAAAAAATCCGATGACTTGATACGTTAGGCTATTTGCAAATAAATTTCACAAATAGCCTAACCTCAGATTCAAAACAACTTTAAAATTCGGCCTGATCATCAATTTCCACCAACGAGATTCCTTGTTGTGGTTAAAAAACATCCCTAAACTTATAAAATCAAATCATTTTTTTTTTATTGAGCAACACAATAGTGAGTTTCAATATTTCTCGTATTATTACCTCGCTACTTACTCGGTTTCATGCACATTAAAATTAAAACTAATGAATCACTAGCCATCATCAGTGTGCATTTCCAAAAGGCCGACTCATTGACGGAAACCCACACCGACAGCTCTGCTGCCCGATATCGACAACCGACAGCTCTCGATATCGATAGCAAATACGAGACAGTTCCAAACTCGCCACTACTTGTCTAGCCGTCAGCGCGAACGTTTCAATGCGCTGATACCGCGTCCTAATTGACACGTCTGGCGGGAGCGGAAGTTGTAGTGAAGGGGCGTAAATAAATAAGATATCGATGATAAAATACTAATAAAATATTCTTAAAATGTTGAGTCCGCGTTACCACTTTAAGAGTTAGCTTCCGTTGCACCACCTTAACTTTAACGGCAAACATATCCATAACCGGTGTTTTTGTATGGAGTTTGTCAGACTTTTGACGTTAAAGTAAGATGGTGCAAGTCGTTAAACATCTGACAAGATTCCAGTTTTGTGTTCTTAGGGGGTTTCCATGGTTTCTATAAGTCATAAAGTAGGGTCTAAAACAGTAATTTGAAGCGAGCTGTGTTTATGTATTACAAGTGTGTCATTATCTTGTCTGTACTATCTCTTGGCTGTACCTAAGAATATTTTGTATGTGACATCCTGTTATACCCATGTTTATGAATGAATAAATGATTATGATTATGATCTTTAGCGTTATGTTCTCTCTGAACTTCATAGTGAGCATAAAAATCATAAGAATACACATCTG